CTGGATTTGGGACAACTGTCTTGTGACCGTGATGTGAGAAGTCTGAGAAAACTCTAAAAGAACTGTGAAGATACCACTAAGACGTAACAGAGCTTCTGGGTGCATCTCAACAGCCTCCTGCCTCAAGTCTTCCATAAGGAGAAAAAGAAATCCTGTATTTTTTTAGTTGATGTTAACTTGAATTTTGTTTCTAGTAGCTAAAAACCTTCATATTTGATTCAGGTATATTAAAAGAAAAACAGACCATGAGAGGATAGAAGTAACAAGTAATTGATTTAAGAGATCAAGAAGAGGAAAGTTGAGTGGGCCCAGAAAGATGGTGACATAAAAGAGCACAGCCATTTTTGGGGGGAGAAAAATCTATCTGGAGCATGCTAATCTCAAGGTACACGTAGGGTATCCAGATGCAGTAGGCAGATGCAGACTTTCTATCGTAGGAGTAGCCAGGAGTGATAACTCAGTTGAAGTGGTGATTAAAAATCACTGGCAATAGCAATGCAAAGGACAATAGGAAATGTCTCCAATCAGTGGTTGTAGAATGAAATTCTTAGTAGCGACAAGTGACAGAATATGAAAAATATAGAAATATTCAAGTTAGGAAGAGTCCCAGAAGATGGGCTGGTTAATAATATAAAATAAAGTATACGTCTTCAAGACAAAAAATGAAAGTCATCTTCAAATTGATGTCTCTTTCTACACACAGGCCTCCCCTTGTGATACAGTTCTCTAACCTAACCAAATATTTAGTTTTCTTTGGCCTTCCTCCTTTGCTACATCTCAGGTCTTCTCAGTTAAAAGCCTCAGCATCTTAAATTTATGTCAAAGTCATACTATCAGTTGTTCGTTTTATTAGTTTATTTATTTTATTTCTTTGATGACCACTGGAAACATAGCATTTTATCTCTCCTTCAAAATCAATTTTTATCTTACCTAAGACAAATCAGGGAAAAGATAACCAAATAGAAAAATGGGCAAGACACATGAACAAGCATTTTGTGAAAGATATCCAGAAAGTCAATAAGTATTTGAAAGATTCTCAACCTTATCAATAAGTAGTTAGTTGCATAATAAACAACCACACATTACCACTGCAAACTAATCAGCATAGCTAAAATTATAAAAACTGACAATGATAACTATTGATGAGGATATAGAGCAACAGAAAGTCTGATATATGCTAGTGGCACTGTATGTCAAATTAATACAGTCCCTTTGGAAAACTGACATTATTGATTAAAAATGAATATACATATACCTTGTGATTCAAGAATTGCAATTCTATTTATTTACTTAATATAAATGTGTATAAATGCTTACCTAAAGAAATGTATAAGAATATTCAGGGTAGCATTTATTGTACTAGATCTCAAACAGAAATTAAATCCAACTATATATCCCAATTAAAATGAAAAAATGAATAAACTGTGGTCTATTTCATACTATGTAATAATACACTAAAATTAAAAAAAAACAAAATTGTTACTAGATAAGGCAGTAATGAATCTCACAAGCATAACAGTGAGCAAATAAGCCAAACACAAAAATAATCAGGAGATAGCAATGCAAAGGACAAGTGTTGAGCATCCAAAACCTCCAAATTAGAAATGATAAATGCTCCCAAGTCCTCAAATTTTGAGCACTGATGTGATGTTCAAAGGAAATCCTCATTGGAGCATTCTAAATTTCCAGATTTGGGATGCTCAACTGGTAAGTCTGACACAAATATTCCATAGTTTGAAAACATTTCAAAGCACTCTGGTCCCAAGCATTTTGGATAAGGTATATTCAACTTGTATATGAATTTATGTAAAGTTCAAAAATGGACAAATAATTATATTTATGTGAAATTCAAAAATAGACAAAGTTTGACTATGTGTTTAGAAGCCAGGAGAGTGGTAACTTGGGAAGGGAGGTTCTAAGGTCAGAACATTGCCGTCTCCCCCCAAATTCATAAATTGGAACCTAATACCCAGTATGACAGTATTAAGAGGTGAGGCCTTTGGGAAGTGATTAAATCATGAGGGTTCCACCCTCATGACTGGAATTAGTGCCCTTATCATGGAGGCTTTTGCTGGGCACTTGACTCAAAACTATAATCCCAGCACTTTGAAAGACTGAGGTGAGAGGATTGCTTGAGTCCAGGAGTTTGAGGTCAGCCCAGGCAAGATAGCAAGACCTTGTCTCTATTTAATGAATAAAAAAATAAAAAATAGACTGGGATTGGTGGCTCTGCCTGTAATCCCAGCACTTTGAGAGGCCGAGGAGAGTAAATTACCTGAGCCCATGGGTTCGAGAACAGCCTGGGCAACTTGGCAAAACCTCGTCTGCATAATAAGAAATAAATAAAAATAAAAAATTAGCCAGGCATGGTAGCGCATACCTGTAGTTCCAGCTACTTGAAAGGCTGAGGTGGAAGTGTCACCGGAGTCCAGCAGGTTGATGCTGGGGTGGCCTTGAGTGTGTCACTGCACTCCAGCCTGGCTGATGGAGTGAGACTCCAACTCAAAAAATAAAAAAAAAAAAAATGAAGGAGGCTCTTGCAAGCTTCCTTGTCACTTCTGCCATATGAGAACAAAGCAGCAAGAGACCATACATGAAACAGAGAGTAGCCCACTCAAAACACCAAACCTGCTGGCACCTTGATTTTGGATTTCCCAGTCTCCAAAACTATGAGCAATATATTTATCTTGTTTTTAAATTACCCAGTTTAAGGTATTTTGTCATAGTAGTCCAAAGGGACCTGGACAAGAGGAAACAAACAGTATTTGGAAGAAGGCACAATTGAAGATTTCTGAGTGTTGGAAATGTTCTTATTGATAAAGTTGTTGATTATTAAAGGTTCAGAATAACTCATGAAGGCATTTACTTATGATTTGTGTTGTTTTGGGTGTACATACATTTCTTTACTTAAAATATTTTTCAAAATTCCTTTTCCCACTTCCCTATCACATAATTTTAAAATAGTTCAAAATCTACTCATTGACTCTCTTGTTCCATCTCATCTAATTTTTTACTCTTACCATGCTTCATTTTGGAAACTTTCTTTTGCCTCATATGCTTAATCCTAACAGTGATGGTTTTATGCCCTTTTTTAACCTAGAATTTTCTTTTTCTTGATTGATACCTTTAATTTTCACTCTGCCTCTCTCTTTAGCCTTATTTCCATAGACTACTAGACCACTCAAGAGAGCTACATAAGTCTACACATCACATTACTTTCCCCAACCTCTGCTGATAATGTAAGGGATTATCTATCAGGAGGGTAAACATTTGTTAGAGTAATTTTGATAATGGTTAAATCTAAGCCTGTTATATTCCTGTTTCATTCATTTCATTCCCTTAGTGTCCATCACTAATTAGCAGTTACAATTAGATTAAATCTTCTCATTCTTACCTTCCTTTTTTGACTAAGTGTTCCATGAGAACTTGACTTGGTAGACATTTACACTTTTAAGTTAAAGCCTGTACAGTATTTAAAGAATGGTTCTAGCGATCAAAGTACTTAAGTATGAGATTTACATACAAAACTGAAATAAACAGATTTACTTTGCTTTTTAGTGAGAAATAAAAGAATATCTGAACCACTTTATAACTTTATAACCCATGAGGACAGGAGAAGGGGAAGGAAATCACCATTTAACAGAGAATGTGTGCCAATACATTAGATGTGTTACACTCTTCATTCTTATGATGAATTTATAAGGTAGGTACTTTTATCCCAAATTATCACTTTTGAAGGTAGAGATGCCGAAAAGCCAAGTAACTTGCTCAAGATCATGTAACAATTAAGTGACCTAGCCAGAATTTGAATCTCAGACAGTGTGATTCAAAAACCCATGGCCTTTTTTCTCTATCTTGCTGTCTCATATCTATGAAGGTTAATGAGACATGCATGTACACTAAGGATACAGGGACCGTTGATTACTTGTATAACATTTTAAAATATGATTTTTTATTGGTCTCTCTTTATTTTGGTGCTTAAGTTTAATATCTAAATTAAGAAGACATTATCTTTATATCTTTTGTAATGCACCACTTTCCCTGTTATCCATCAAACCAGTTGGAAGTCGTAGTTAGAAATTCCTAGAGTCTGCTGATAACAGTGCTAAATTTCTTTTCATTAGTTCCATTCATTAGCTCCCATAACTGAATATATTAACTAGACCTCACATATATATTAATCCCATAACTTATTAATGTTCAGAATAAAACTCAATTGTCACATTTTTAAATACATGGCTTGATTGTTGAATGCAATAGAACTGTTATTTAAGGATGTTATATACAAATTATGACTATTGAATGCTGCTCCCTTGATTTTTTTTGCAGGAAAATGCATCCTAACAATACTTTTTACAAACACATAAATACAAAGAAACACAACCTCAACATGGTAAACAACTGAAGTGAATTCAGTAGTTTTAACGGTGGGGGGGGCAGTTATTATAGGTAGTATAAAAATTTCTTGATATTCTTAGAACTGAAACAGACTCCTTAAAGTGACTTGTATAGAACTTGATCTACTGCTAAAAGTTAATTCTGCATGTCTCCATCTTTAGGTGCCTAGGTTTAGAGTGAGAACTGATTTATATTTACAATGAGTTATAGTATGACAAAGTACCAGTTGAATTTCTAACAGCCCTAGCAGGCAGTTCTTATCCTAAGTATTTTGTCTGCTCCCTGCTGACTGACCAGCTGAGTACCAATGACATCACCTGCAGAAAGCTTGTCTGTCTTGCTGACTAGAGACACTGAGAGAGCAGCAACTACTAAGGAGGTGATTCCACAGAATCAGCATAAAGTGGTTTAAAAGGTATGCCTAAAGCAAAAACAAAAATACAGTTTTTTTAAAAGTTCAAGGCTTACTTACTCTTTTTTAAAATTATTAAAATAATTTTACCAAGACATACACAAAGGTACTTCACAAGAAGTGTGGATAGAGCGCTCTTGAGCACAGTAATGCTGGAGGTGAGGTGGGAAGGAGAAAATGACGAGCATACCTTCGCGTGTCCAGCTTTTGTGATGGCAGGCATGTTAAAGAACTGGCCAGTATAAAAATGCACCCCACTGAACAGGATCACTGCAATTGAGTCTCCTTCCTTCTCAATTACTTCAAGAATATCCTCTGTTCTTAAGATTTCTTCCCCCTGAGTCAAGTTAGGCACAAGTTATGTCATATCAACAAGGCATTTATCACTTCATATTTATTAATCTAAATTTCACCATGAACTCTTTTGCATTATAAGAAAAATCAAAGACAAAATTATTTTCAGACTAAAGCTCTTTAAAAATCTGGTAAAAGAGAAGAATTTGGGCATTATTGTTATTATTGAGAAATGATAAGCAAACAGTAAAAAAAATTTTTTTTATGTTAGCCTCCAGTTTTTCAATTAATTTTTACTATTTGCACACCTATACATTGTTTTCTCCTTATTCTCAACCAATAAAACACCATAAAGTACAAGAAGTCTTTGAAGTATTATATAGCAAGAGAAATTGTCAGAAATGTGCAATTATCAATCTAATATCATGCTATTTTTTCCAGAAAAGGAACACTTATATATCTTTCATCTGAGTGTTTACCTAGCCAATGTCTTTCATTATGAGTAAGATCTCCTCCAAACTAATCTACAGATCAAGATCCAAACATGAAGAAAAATGCCAATAAAACTCAGTATTGCCAGTTTTTTCCTCATGTCTCCCCACTACCACTAATGATTGATTGTTTGATAAAATTATGAGTGAAGTAGGTTGGTCTTGCAAATAACTGGAGCTGAAAGAAATTAGTTAAATACAAAATATCTACTTGTATCCTAACAATTCTGATCTACTTACAAAGTTTGCATGAATTTTTTCCAGTGTTAAATCTTACATGATTTTGAGGTCAATGAATCATTAATTGCATTAATATTTGAGGGAAGCTCATTAAAATATTATCCTAAAGTTTATTTTTAATTTTTTATGATTCTTGCTATCTGCCAATTACTCTGCTCCACATAAGGGATGTGAGTGTTTTGTGTGTGTGTGTGTGTGTGTGTGTGTGTGTGTGTGTGTGTGTGTGTAATACACTCTCTATTAGAAGCCTAGAACTTGCTTACAAAATGAGCATCTATAAAAATTAGTACCCCAGTATCAATGGAATTGATATTGAAATCTCTGAATAATTAAATGAAGTATACATATTAAAATGAAGTGCATATATAGAGATTTAGATAGATAGACAGATAGATAGATAGTATATAGAGAGAAGAATTTCATTAGTTATAAGAAAAATTCTAAATAAAATTAGTAACTTGGTCATTCAAAACTATTCTTAAAAGAGTTTAATAAGATTTGTCCACCAAAATTAAAAAATGGTGAGAAAATATTATATAAACTAATAGTTAGCTTATTTTGTAAAGTATTTAGCAAATAAAAAATATGTTTTGCAGAGATAAGATATGGCCTGCTCTCTTACTGACTTGTTCTTGGTAATGCTCAATAGTGGTCCCAGAATTATGAGTAACTCATGAGACTCCAAAATATCGATTAATCAAAACATTAAAACTCGTGATTATTAGTGACTATATTCATTTATGCTAGAAATTAGGAATTTATGTCTTTTCACAGGTGTGAAAATTTTTTATTCCATTAATTTGTTGCATATTGACAAATGGAAGTGAATAGTATGGGTCTTTAATTTCCTCAAAGTAATTCTGGGTTGCAAGAAGTAATTGTTCAAACAATGGCTTAGCAGCCTGGGAGCATCTCATGTGAAACTGAAAGTTTATTCTGTATGATTCTCTTGGTGACAAATTATGCAAACTGCAGGGCTTATCTGTCAAAGTGTGTACAGCTTAGCCTTATATCTCTATTAATGTAAAGCACACAGTATTTTAGATCTTGAGCATATGGTCAAGTCTGATTAGATATATCTTTTGTTACCTGTTTAAATAGAAAGGAGTCTCAGAGAGTAAAGCAACTTTCCCAAAGTCACAAAACAGTAAGTTAGAGACTCTGGAATTTCCTTAGAGTATATTAGCCAGGCTGCAAAGCCTCACCTCTTCTCACTATACCAACTCCCTTTCTCCATCCTAGTCTAAACACAAAGAAACCAGCTGATACTTAGAATAAGAAGGCACATGAAAGACAGTCATCATTGAATTTCAGCAAACATTACCAGTCTAACATGATTTTAAAGGTACCCATGGGCAATGACATTTGAAATGGAAAATGATACACCCAATTTGCCATCCTCTTCCTTTCCCATTGAAGAATATGGCAGACACCAGTGGTATTAACAGGAAAATAGTGTGCTTGCCATAAGCCCTTGGACATTAAAAATAAATACACATCTGAGATACTCGCTATTTTAAGTAAAATGATCTAACAGGAACAGATGTATAGGTCTTTTTTTCTTTCTTGAAATTTCCATTAAAGTAATGAAGATAAACTTTTGAGGAAAATGAAGAAAACAATCAATACTAAATAAAAGCATGATGAATATTTCTTTCTTTCTTATATACCTCTCTTGGCTTTATCATCCGCATACTTTCTTCAACGTTAAGTCCATGAAGTTGTAGCTGTGACTCAATAGCATACTAAAAAAGAAAAATGATTTATTTATTAAATCAAGCTGAAAGCATAGAAGTACATTGAAATAACAACTCTAAAAACAAATACTACAATAACCATAAGAACAGTATATGAAATCCAAGGTCAAGGTTAAAAGAACTTAGCAAAATATGTAGAGAAGAACTGCTTAATATAATTTGCATGCAGAAATCTGAACATTCTTTGAGATGAATGGAGACTTAGGGATTTTCTTGATTTAAGGAGTGACAAGAGATTTTTGAATAAGACATCAAATTACCTCATCGATGTCAAAACCAGAATTTGCAAAATAACCAAAGTGAGTAGTGTGGGGAGCCATTTTAAAAATAGCAATCATCTCATATAAGCCTTCTTCTTTGTCCTCCGAAAAGCCCGCGCGCGCCAAACCACAACACCCCTCCCACCTCCTCTCCTCATACCACCCACTACTCTTCCTCCTATCATAAGCCGCCACACGCCCTATTTCAGCCCGCCCCTCTTTGCTATGTATATAAGCAATCGCCTAACAATAAAATTTGGAGGCTTGATCAGAACACTGTCTTGCCTCCATTCTGCGTGTCTCCTGTCTCTTTCTCTCTCTTGGTCTCTCTCTCTCTCTTTTCACCAGCAGCAGGTAGTCCTCCTCGTGCCCACGTTTTACTTGTCCCGCTGGTCGGGACAGAGTAGTATGACCTTTTTGTGTTGAAACATTAGATATAGAAATAGCTTGCCGTAGAAAGAGGAAGCTAGTGAAAGGAAAGGGCATTAGAAATTTTACTTCATTGAAAATATATGATATATATGGGAATAAGCAATTACAGGGACCTGGACTATTTTAAAGCTATTAGGGCTTTGATCCATTTTAGCAAAGTAATGACTATTCATTTCGACATAAATACATGCCCTAAACCCATAAGTTGTGGTCTAGAAAAATTAAAAGTATTCATCTAAAAAATAGAAATCAAGTTTCTCCAACACTGAAACTGAAATATGCAATGTATGTTTATCTATGTATGTGTCTGAAACAATCAAATATTTTATCAGTTAAACTGCTGATAAAGTAGCATGACTTTTTTTTAGTGAAACAGAAATATTTTTAACTTTCAAGAAGTTTTTTAAATAATAAAGCACCAATGATTATGGTAATATTTTATGAAACAAAGAGAAAAGTAAAAGTCTATATTCCTATTCTACGTAGCTAAAAGGGTTAACCACCAGGGTTTGTATTGATTTGATTTCGTAAAATAAAACAGCAACAAGAATTGATCAAACATTTATAACTACACTTGATTTAGATCAGTGGTTTGTTCAATATCCTTAAAAAGGCTAATAAATCAATGTTCCTATTCAATCTTCCCTTCCCTTAACATATGTTTTACTTAAACAAAAGAAATAAAGCTACAATCTACTCAAAAAATGCCCAAATCAAAAGCATTTGACAGATCTTTTTATTGTGAGGTTACTTGGAAAAGACTAGCAAATAAACATTGAAGTCAGACAAATGATATGCTCCTCCAGGAAAGGTATAAAGAACATAAATATAATTTGAAGAAATCCTTACATGATCAGAAGGGAAAGCTTTGGCTTCTAGAAGAATTTTATGTCGTTTTGGTGTAGGCTTAAAAAATGATAACTGCAATGAAATGAATTTATTGAGAAAGCATTAATGTACAATTTATACCTTTGTTCATTTTATGCCACACTTTTTTCTTATGATATCTAGTATTTTAAATACATCAATTAATTAAACATCTCAGATGTCTGTCATGGGTACCTTTTTGATTAACCTTGTTTTCAAAGAGTTATAACGAGAAAGACAATATTGACTCAGTATGCCTATCAATGAAGAAGCATCCTCACAGGGGGAGGGCACGGGGGGAGGATGTGAATCAGATCAAACAAATTCTGAAACTTTATTTAAATGGCATTTGATGCATCTTAAAGTCAGATGTTGAACAAAAAAAAAACATACATACTAGTTGAATATTATCTTCCCAATTACAGATTCCTATGGTAATCTGTAGTATGACACTGCAAAATCATGTTTTATGTATGTCTTATCTATATTGGCTTATTTTGCACTGCCAATTTGTTTTCCACTGCACAACACTTCCAATATTTTATTATTGTATGTTATTTTATTCTAGACGCAACTAAAAGTACGTCAGCTCTAACATTTTTTAAAAAAATTGTCATTCCTTGAGGTACCAATGAGAAGTGCCTCATTTGTTCATTGGGGACCTTTCATTTCTCACACAGTTCCCAGAGAATGAGATTGACAATAATAACAATGAAGATGATAGTTATTATTAACTGGATCTTGATCACTGGCCAGGGTACAAAATCAGCTTCCACATAGTATTACATTTAATCCTCAGGCAGATATTTAAGGTATATATTATTGTACTCATTTTAACAAAGGAGAATATTAATACTTATATTAAAATCTTCTTCTACATCAAATATGCATTAATTGATTTAGCTGGGAGTCAAATTCAGAGATGTCTGAACCTATGTCTCCAAATCATATTTTTAAAATGAGGCCAATATTTTTCAACACATCATATCATTACTATAGATACAATATCCTAAATCAAGAATATATTTGACATTTTTAGATAAAGCTATTTATTGAATCTTTAAAATACAAGAAATATTTTTTTTCTTTGTTAGTTTTTTTTTGAGTTGGAGTCTCACTCGGTCGCCCAGACTGGAGCGCAGTGACCGCTCCCGGCCACCACAACCTCGACCTGCTGGGCTCCGCGATCCTTCCGCCTCAGCCTTCCAAGTAGCCGGAATGACAGGCGTGCGCTACCACGCCTAGCTAATTTTTTGATTTATTGTAGAGATGAGGTCTCGCTGCCCAGGTGGGGCTCGAACCCGTGAGCTCAGGCAATCCACTCACCTCAGCCTCCCAAAGGCGCGGGATTACAGGCTGAGCCACCGAGCTCGGCTACAAGAAATACTTTTAAGATGTAAGAAATACTTTAAACACAGCAACTCATTTAAGGTAGTAGACTCTTTTTCTATAATTTAATTTTATGTTCTAGGTCTTTTTCTAACCTACTCCCCAAAAATTAATACACAAAAATATACGAATCCATGATTCCACTTTGCTAAAGTCCAGTATATTAGAAAATTGTCCTGAATTGTATCCCATATCTTTAAAATAATAAAAAAGAAAAGACATAAAAAAGAAAATAATCTTTCCAAAAAGCTCAGATCTTTGCCAGCATTTGTACATTATTGTTTTGTGAACTTGCAAGCAGTTTTCCTTTTTACCCATTATGAGTCTTATTTTTTTATTTTCTGAGATAAGAACTGTTCATTATTCTACAACTGTTTGCAAGAGTCAACTCTTCCATGATTAGGAAAAAGGCATTATATCATAGTCCATCACTTTCTGGTAAAAATGAAAATAACTTCACAATTTATTTTTAAATAAGTAGACCACCAGATACTCATGAATTAAAGATAGAAAAACATCAGATTCTGTAATCAGTGTATTCTAAACACTGATGGGAAAGGAAACTTACCAGTAGGAGATGTAAATTAACAGTCAAAGCATTCATTAGGGCTATTTCTTTCTCATTGGCTCCTGCAAAATAAACATATCATAATTTAGACATTTCTATTACTATGAAGATACTTGAAAAAACAAAGTAGAAAAACATCACTTGATCATTCTTAATGTGTTTAGACATAAGGGCATATTTGATGGGTCATCACAAAGAAACGGAAGTTTTCCCACTTGACTCATATTGTCAACTGATATCGGAACCCACATGCACACAGCTAGCTAAAAGTTATATTTCCTTTTCGAGGTAGTAAATAACAACAACAAAATAATGAAGCATTTGCTTTTTCCTGTAAACTAAAAATGATATGTCTTATTACAGCTAGTTTGTCAAATTCCCAAAGAGTATATTTTTATGGTAAGTGTATCTTCAAAGGAATCTAAAAAGATATTAAGGCCAATTACATTTTTAAAGCTGGTTGTTTCTAATAACAAATTAAAATGTACCTTTAATAAAAGAGAGATACTTTGCTAAACATAACTCACTATTATTACAGTGAGATATGTAACAAGACAAAACAGCTACATAGCAAAACACAACCTAAATAACTCTGGAGTTTATTCGTACTCACTGAGATAAAAAATAATATAGATGTATATTGTCTGGCATGAAAATATACAAAATTAAGATGTCAACTGCATAATCATAATCTGATCTAATTCCTACTAATGTGGATTTTGACACTAGAAACAGATACAGAGACAGAGAATGCATTGGTTACTTCAGAATTCAGAGCATAAAAACCACAAAAATACCTTCCATGTTTTGAGTTCTTATGATGTCTCTTAAAGGCAATTAGACTTCTGCAAGAGAAATGATGTCCCTTTAATATTACTAAGAAAAATGGGCTGTGTACCTTAGTGTTTTAAGGCCATATTAAATATTAGAAAAAATGTATAACACAACTCCTACATGTTGTTTCTAAAAGAGTACCATTTTCAAAGAATAGTAAGAAAAGGAAATCTAATAGATTACAGGATAAGTTCATTAGGAGTGAAAGTCCGTGGAAATAAGAATATAATTTGGGGATTTTTTAATTATCAAGGAAGACTTGCTACATTTGTCATGTGATTTTTCCACTTGATTGGAAAAGGTTGGTGAGCAAATGGTGTATGTTAAAAGAATACTACGCAGCCATAAAGAAAAATACAATTAAGCTGGGCTCGGTGGCTCAACCTGTAATCCTGCGCCTTTGGGAGGCTGAGGTGAGTGGATTGCCTGAGTCCGCGGGTTCGAGACCCGTCTGGGAAGTGAGACCTCATCTCTACAATAAATCAAAAAATTAGCCGGGCGTGGTAGCGCGCGCCTGTAATTCTGGCTACTTGGAAGGCTGAGGCGGAAGGATCGCCGGAGCCCAGCAGGTCGAGGCTGCGGTGGCCAGAAGCGGCCACTGCACTCCAGTCTGGGCGACAGAGTGAGACTCCAATTCAAAAAAAAAAAAAAAAAAGAAAAGAAAAAAAACCCAGAAAAATACAATTATGGACTTTGCAGCAACTTGGATGGATTTAGAGTTCATAATACTCAGTGATCTATCACAGTGATATAAAATGATGTCATATTCATTATATTAATTTTTCTAACTATGGTATGAACTTTTACTATTATTTCTAAAATAAATATTATCTAAGAAATCTAACCTGATCTTGTCCCTTACTCTCTGTTAGATCTATAAGATCTGAGTGCCACATATACTCACTTATAAGCGGACCCTGAACATTTATCATAATACTATCAGAAAGGAATTGGCAGTAGTGGGACACTGCCAAGATGGGAGTGGGGGGTATACAACATCAATAAGTGTACCTGATCTCAAACTAGGCAAAATGGGGACCAAAGGGAGGCCCAAACTTTACCTGCATGATGATGAAATATGTATCTAAGCTTGAATTGTACCCCACATCTTTAAAATAGAATTTTTAAAAAGATGTATCTCTAGTCATTGTAAGGTGAATTATATCTGAAGTTAAGGGTCAATAGGAACAATCTTATTCTATGCCTAACACTAATAAAATTTCTTTCTGAATTACTAAATAGACATGAATGCGATAAACTTATGTTGCATTTAATGGTATATGCTTTTGTTTTAGCAAGAAAATATCTTTGAAATGTGATATAAAATGATGTCAAATTTATTATATTAATTTTTCTAACTATGGTGTGAACTTTTACTATTGTTTCTAAAATAAACATTGTCTAAGATATCTAACCTGATCTTGTCCCTGACTCTAATTATTTACTCATTTATTTTTTCCTTTCTGAAAAAAAAGTACTTAAGTGAAAAATAGAGTAGAAGGAGGACAGAAATGTAATATAAACATAAAGCAGAATTAGTAGAAAGAGAATCTCACACTTAGACCAATTATTTGTAAATATCCCTTATGAATTTGGATTGTTTGTCAGCCTACATGCACAAAAAAATTATGTTACCTTGGACAACTTTAAGTTAAATTTAACTGAGCACATGACAAAATGCTATCCTCACTCTCTACTGAACTTTGCCCAGTCTAGTTAACAGGCATTAATGTGCAAACACATAAATACAACTTGACATTAAAGTTTCAAAAATTAACAGACATGTTTATTATAATTATAACCCGAAAACGCTTAAGAACTAAGCATCCTTAACATCAAAGAGCCACGACAGACTGATTTTCAGTTTTATTGTATTCCCTCTATTGATTATTTTACAAATTGAAGGTTTGTGGCAATACTGTGCCAGACTAGTCTATGTGTCATTTTTCTGACAGCATGTGCTCACTTCATGTCTCTGAGTCATATCTTGGTTATTCTAAACATATTTCTTTCTTTCTTTCTTTTTTTTTTGAGTCAGAGTCTCACTTCGTTGCCCATACTGGAGTGTATTGGCACACTGCTCATGGCCATAGCAGCCTCAACCTACTGGGCTCAGGCAATTCTTCTGCCTCAGTCTTCCAAGTAGCTGAAACTACAGGCATGCACCATCACACTCAGCTAATTTTTTGATTTATAGTAGTGATGAGGTCCCCCCATGTTGCCCAGGCTGGTTTTGAACCAGCAGGCTCAGACAATCTTCTTGCTTCTGCCTCCCAAAGTGCTGGGATTACAGGTGTGAGCCACCACACCTGTATTATTCAAACTTTATTATTATTAGTATATCTGTATGGTGATCTGTAGTCAGTGATCTTTGTTATTATCACTTTAATTATTTGAGGGTGCCACAAACATGCAGATAAAATGACAACATAATTGATAAATGGTATGTGTTTTCTGACTGCTCCACCAACTGGCCTTTCCTCCTTCTCTCCCTTCTCTTTGAGCCTTCTTATTCCTTGACACACAGCATTATTAGGCCAGGTCTCAAACTTTAAATCAAAAGTTAAAATTTATTAAACTTATTGAGGAAGACATATCAAAAGCCAAAATAGGCTGAAAGCTAGTTCTCTTGTGCCAAGTAATTAGCCAAGTTGTGAATGTAAAGGAAAAGTTTTGAAGGATATTTAAAGTGTTACTCTAGAAACACACGAATGATAAGAAAGCAAAACAGCTTTATTGCTCCTTAAAAGGTCTACATAAAAGATCAGCCTAGCCAAAGTCTAAAGCAAGAGGAAGGCCATAACGCTCTTCAATTCTGCATAGACTGAGAAAAGTAAGAAAGTATCAGAAGAAAAGTTTGAAGCTAGCTGAGATTGGTTCTTGAGGTTTAATAAAAGAAACGTGAAAGTTCAAGATGGACATAGGTTACAAAAAGAGGAGGAAGTGTGGATGGCACTGCCCCCAAGCAGCCCAAAATGTGCTTTGAAATTCCCAAATGTCAATTTTGTTTGATGATTTCAGTGAACAGAATTATTAGATCCTACAAATGTGGTCATTTCAAATGGAAAAAAAGGAAAATACAGGCAAGTGCTGTTAACAAATTAAGATATCCAGACACGATTTAGGGGATCAAAAGGTAAAAGAAGCTTGGGAGTGAAATCCCTCAACAGTGCCTTCTGAAAGCGGGCTTATGGATCCCCACTGTTTATTGAGTTACAGTTTTCCTGCCTTTCATGGTACCCATGGTGTTTCTGTAGGTGATGTCAACAAAAGAAAGCAGTCCATGATTTTACCTGAGGTTTCCTTATATGCTTGTACTACAGCATTCAACATTATCAATGGAAATGCAAGTAAGCTGTAGTTGCTGTCCACAAGACAATATATTACTTGAGACAGAAGTAATTGCTTCCTCAATCTTCTTTGTATTAATCCCTCATTTAGACTCAGTGAAATATTCCCTGGGTGACTTTCGGATCAAAAGAGCCTTCCCTATAATTTTACTCACCCAAGTAAGTGAACTGAATGTTTGCTGTACCCCAGAGTTTTGAACTCACTAAAGAGACTGAGGTCATGGACAAACAAGGCAATGTCATTGTTCAGGCCAGAAGAGCCAGGGAGAAAGCCTGCTGAAAAAAGCTCAGCAATATCTATGGCAATACTTTTAGGGACCTCAGTTTTTATATCTGAAGTCTTTACCTACTTTTAAAAAGGAAATGGTGCAGTAAACTTGGAGAGGAATTTCAATTTTCAACAGAAAAAAAATAGAACTCTTCTATAACAGAATGGCTTGGGGGTGAATTTTAGGTGAATTTGTCTGGTTCCACTTTAAAAATCTTTCTCAAGGTTTCAGTTTAGAGAAATCTGTCTAAAATTTATTGGGGACCTTGGGTGTCTGTCCTAACAAGATAACTCAAGATTACATATACTGAAATTGTTTTCAGATTTGTTGTATCTGGGGGTGCTTAAGGTTTTCTGGACAATGAGTGTGTCCTGTCTGACACCTCCCACAGGGTTGCTGAGGAGATGGGTGAGCTAAGAATCAGCTATATAAAGGTACTATGACATTACTCAATAAACTTGTTTCAACTGAGTGTTTGGGGGAAAAAAGTGCAGGGTAAAGCGACAAGTGCTGATGTAAAAGTTACAGCAAGTTATCCAGAATATCTAGTAAGATTACTGATGAAGGTGGCTACACTAAACAGTAGATTTTCAAGGTAGACGAGACAGA